ACATGAAACGAGAGAAAAACAGCAAATATTGACCCAGCGTGGAAAAGCGGAGCCATTAACACCCCAGGTGTAGCAGTTTAACCTGTAAAGGAAACACCACCTGCGTCCGCACAAATTTGGAGGAATTACTGCGACTCACGTTCAAAACGATTAGTCAGCCTTTTTGAACTGTTTCATCCTGAAATTGTACTTTGTCTCATCAAGGTGTACTTATTGTGGTACCTCGTTCTCACAACATGTATTTTATTAGTGCCTATAGTCTTCTGATTACCTAGTTGATTATAAAATCAAGTAGTGCACTAACAAATTGATGAGCCCGACGTGGTGGAGGAAGCAGTCGTTTCCGAAACCTGAATGTCTGCTGCGGGGTTCTGATCTCTTTCTTCAAGGGATCTGGCAACGGAAGTGGTTTCACACCTTTGGAATCACTTCTATTTTCACGAGAAACCTCAAAGAATGAAACGGTTTAAGGGAACTCCAAATTTCCACACCCTACACAGACAATCACCCTCCACAAAAAAAGATTTATCTAGGTGACGATTTTTGCCGGCTGATTTTTTCCAAGTGTGAATTCCCTAGGTCAGAAAAACCTATCAGTCCTCGTGTAGAAAACAGTTAAACTCCAAAAAGCAGTGCTCAAAAAGAAACGAAATGACAGCCACCTAGTGAGTGATTGACAGTCGTGTCCATGATTCGACTTCATTTCATTCATGAGGTAAAACGAAACGAACTAAGTTAGTTTCATCCAAAGCAAACTAAGACATGAGGAATGACGGCAGGTGTATGGCTGAACGTGGATCACATCTTTATTTGATCGCGAAGTGACAGTGGGATCAGTCCGCTTCAAGGAATCGTCAATTTCGTCAATCTACAGAACAAGGTTGTTCAGTTTGGAAAACCAGGGTAGTGCAAAGGAAGGACTATTATCAGGTATCGAGTCCAGACCAAAACAAAAACTACCTACGATGAAACAGACCTTTATGCTGAAGGATGACGATGGTTCATGCTAGGAACCGTCTGTTGACAAAACTGTGAAAGATTCATGGAGATGCATCCAACTTGAATAAAAGCTTCAAAACTAGTGCTGCCTAACTCAATATTTTTTTTCTCAATAAGGCTGTTTTTAAGTGTATAGCCATACGATACAAACAGATATGACTATAGCTCCGTTCCGACCTTAACATCTACATAAACAACACAGCGACGTGGAGAAGTAAGTGCAATAAGTGCAGTAAGTGAGCAATACTTCTTAGACGATATGCGGTGATAAGCGGTCGATGAAACACCGGTATATCCCGATATCATCAGAGATGAAGTTTGCCACCAGTGTATTTTCGTTCCTACCTAGAGATGAGGTAGCTTCGATGGGACTATTTCGAATAAACAAAGGAATTTCCGCCTTAAGGACGAAAGCTCCTCCCTGAGACATTTCTCATAAAAAAACCATTGTTGTTTTGGTTCCATGCGGTATTCCAGGTTACCAGCCGCCAGATATGAAAGTAAGAACCTCCTTGTTTGGAATGTTTGGCTGAAATTCCAGCAAACTACCTACGTCAGAGAATTGTGTCGATAAATAGGGGTTTCTACCTCTGAACATGGTAGCTAAACAATGTAGCATATGAGGGCATATGATATATCAATGGCAAACAGTATCGAATGCACATTACTAACGCAAACATTCCAGACTGGCGTCACAATCTTCAGATAA